CTCCCTCCCTCCCTCCCTCCCTCCCTTCCTTCCTTCCTTCCTTCCTTCCTTCCTTATCCTCATTATTATTGAGACAAGGTTTCATATATCCTAGGCTAATCTGGAATCACTTTGTAGCCAAGGATGACATTGAGTTTCTGAGCTCCTGCCACTATGTCCCCAGTGCTGGGATTGGAGATTTGTGCCACCACACCTGGTTGATGTGCTGGTGGGCAGTGAGCCCACAGCCTCATATATACTCAGCAAGTACTCAACCAGACTCTCTTCTTTTTAATCCTTGGTATAAAAAGAACCTATTATAGTTTCATTGGTTGTCTTAATCTCAGGTAAGTTGATTTTCTGAGCTTTTCAGACATTAATGTGGAGAGTGTTAACAATTATCAGGATTTATAGATGATCACAACCAAAACAATAAAGTGAGCCAATGATTGAAAATTTTAACATTCTCCAAAACAGAAATTCTCAATTTCTAGTGAAATGTTTATTCCTATGCTACATTTGTGTTGATCTCTTCTATTTATTCATTGGTACTTTCTGAACATAGGTGCAAATGATATTTTGCATTATCTTATGAGTCTTTTAATTTTTTATTTTTTGAGTCTTTTAAAGTTTTATTTGTGTGTGGGGGGGCACACACACCACAGGGTGAGTGTAGATGTCAGAGGGCATCATGTGGGTCGTCACCAGGATTGGAGCAATGGCCTTCATTCTCTGAACCACCTTGTTGGTCCTAACTTCCCAAGTCTTAATCCCACAATCACTATTTTTAATTGTGTTTGTCTTTGTTGTTTGGTTGTTGAGACAGGGTCTCACTGTGTAGCCCTGGCTGGCTGGAACTCACTGTATACCAAACTGGACAGTTATTTTATCATTTGACCAGGACATGTGTATTAAATCACATACTCCAGCAACTTTGTGAATGAAATGTCAGAGAATTAAGAATTATTTATAAAGTATTATTTCATTGATTCCAATCTAATTTTAGAAAAATCACTTACTTCCTTAAAGTTGAACTGACCTCATAAATTTGCAGCTTTTTTCTTACTTTGGGATTGTCTGGCTTGTCACAGCTGTTGGCACCATGTGCTGGACACTGTGTGCTGCCACTGCCGACATTCGATGCTGCCAGAGTGAATGACATCTTTCTTGACTCTGACTCTCAGATCAGCATGTGCTCAAGCCTCCAGGGTGTGGAGACAGACATGAAGTACCTGGCCGTCTGATCTTCCACGATAGGAGTTGTGGCCCTGCAATCTGCCAAGATTCATGAAGTGGCATTGCACTCGAACAGGGACATTCTTCAAACACTGGGAAAAACACCCACAAACTAAGTAAATAAATGAAAGATAAAAAAAAGAAGGGAAGGAAAAGAGAGACATCTGTATTCACTATGCTTTCTCCTCCACCAACCTGGAAAGTTGGCCATCAACTTGGATACCATTGGAATTAGTGCTCTCTTCAACAGATTTAACCTCTGCAAAGCAACCCATGTTAGGAACTTTTGCAGATATCACAAAGCCTCTAAAGGAGGACAGTGTAGAGGAGTACACTGGCAGGCACTTCACTCTGCTGTCTCACTGACAAGGAAATGTGCATGGAGAAAGCTGAGTGAGTGATGGTTTAGGATACAAAGTGACAGTGAGATGCTCAGACAGCACTGTCTTGTGACTTCCACACATAAAGGTGAAGTTAGAAGATCGAGTGGTCTGTCATATACATACCATAGAACTGTAGACAGGAAGGGATTCTATAGGTGTAGAAAAGAATGTAAAGCCAAGAGCAGGTGCTGTATGTAATGTCTGTTCAGCCATCTTGTTTTCTAAAATTTTATCACATATTACTGTGTGTGTGTGTGAGGAAGAGAGAGAGTTCTGTTGTTTGGATGTATTTTTACTCTTCTGGCTCTTTGCTCTTTAGGGGGGCCTGCCATCCAGCTCCCAAATCAATCCACACAAATTCTTATACTTTTTATTCTTTTTTTTTTTTTTTTTTTTGGTTTTTCGAGACAGGGTTTCTCTGTGTAGCTTTGGAGCCTATCCTGGCACTAGCTCTGGAGACCAGGCTGGCCTCAAACTCACAGATCCGCCTGCCTCTGCCTCCCAAGTGCTGGGATTAAAGGCTTGCGCCACCAACGCCCGGCCAAATGCTTATTCTTATTTATGCCCGGTTTTAGCTTGGCTTGTTTCTTGCCAGGTTTTCTTAACTAATTACTACAAGTACCTCTAGACTATTTCCTTTTCTTACTTCTGGATATCTTTCATTCTTACTCCATGGGTGGCTGGGAGGCAGGTCCCTGTCATCCCCCTCTCCTTGTTCTGTCTTGCTCCTTCTCCCTCCTCAGATTTCTCCTA